GCCTAGAAAAAATCATTGAAAATTCCAACTAGAAACAGGCCGATTGTGAAGGAAATGTTTGCATTTGAGAAAAAGAAAGAGAGGTTTGAATTATAGGTAAAGTGGGATTTCACTGAATTTGCTGAAACATTACATAAAAGTAAAAGGCGAGTTACCTTGAAAAGGGAAACGATCGAGTGGCCATTGTTTCTGGTTCGCGTTCTTCTGTGCCTTCTCTCTTTGTCGTTTATCGTATCGTAATAAACATGGTCTGAGTTTTTCGTGGATTGAAAGTTTGATGGAAGCTTTCCTTTGTCACATGAAGAAAAGTGACGAGGTTGGTGTACATGATAACTTTTTAGGGTAAATTAAAATATGTGTCATTAAACAATTGGTTTAGTTCGATTTTAATAACTGAATTACTATATTTTTCAATTAAGTCACTAAAATATTGAAATAATTTCAAAAGGCATTGATTATTAATTGTTAACTATTAACGAAATGTTGACACGACAATTAAGCAGATTTATATGATTATATATTTATTTATTATTATTTATATATTACTTTAATTTAATTTAATGTTAATTAAAATAATTTAATAATTCGTCTATGAGATAGTTAAAATCATATAATTACATCTGTCATCATATTAATAGATAAAATTAAATAAAAAAGAATAGAATGAGAGAAACCATATCTGATTATTGGAAAGGTTAAATACGCTTTAATCATTTAATCAAATTTAATATTTGATGTTTCATTAACAAAATATTGTTTTTATTTTAATTTGTAGTTAATGAGCAAAAAAATATGAAAATGATGGTAGGGTTTAGTCATGCGTTAATTATTGAACAAAGTCATTATTTGATTTTTTAACGAAGTATTATATTTAAGTTAATCTATAATTGATGTTTAAAATATGAGAAAATATGAACAAATATCTTAGCTCACGTCACAAAAGAACAATTCTTCTATCAGTTCTGTAACACCCTCAACTCATATCCGACCCGGATACGAGTCCATGATATCACATTGACTAAACAAAACAATACTTAAAAAAAACCGATAAAACATTTGAACTTATTTTATTAAAAGAGAAAATAACTTCAGTGACCAAAAATCCAGATAATATATGATTTTGACCAATTTTTTTTGGATTTGCGAAAATGACCAACAAAATCGCAATGCGATCTCTAATTCGCATTGCGATCTCCACTATCGCAAATTTGCGTTGCATTTCGCGTTGCGATAGTTGAAAATCGCGTTGCGATTTCCCATTTTGCGTTGCGATAGTCTACAATGTCGTTGCGATTTTCCAAATTCGTTGCGATAGTCTACAGTTGTTGTTGCGAAAGTCTACAGTTGTCGTTGCGATTTTCCAAATTCGTTGCGATAGTAAAAAAAAAGATTTTGTTTCTTAAGAATTTTCTCTAAAAAGATAGTATCCACGCGGACGTGTCGAAGACACGTATTACCACGACCACGACCACGACCACGACCACCCCCTTTTTCTCTATCACTCAACAAGGAAGTGGGAAAGCCAAGCCTTAAATACCATTCCCAATAGTGTTTCCAATACTATGTGGGATTTGAGCATTACCAACACTTGTTCCCAATACTACGTGGGATTGAGCCTTAAATAGTGATATTATTTTTGAATGTTTTGCTTAAAATTGCAATAATCGCGATTGATTGTAGATTGACTTTTAATTATGACATATTTAATCGTATAATACTAATGCAATTGGTTGTTGATTCAGTTGTTTTAAGGTGCATGATTGTTAATTGTTTCATGAATAATCACATTGTATTGGAAACAAGTGTTGGTAATGCTCAATCCCACATAGTATTGGAAACACTATTGAGAATGGTATTTAAGGCTTGGCTTTCCCACTTCCTTGTTGAGTGATAGAGAACAAGGGGACTCACGCGCGCCGCCGCCGTCCGTCCGTCTCGGGTCGGGTCGTGTCGTGGTCGTGGTCGTGGTCGTGGTCGTGGTCGTGGTAATACGTGTCTTCGACACGTCCGCGCGGATACTATCTTTTTAGAGAAATTCTTAAAAAACAAAATCTTTTTTTTAACTATTTTTCGCAACGAATTTAGAAAATCGCAACGACAACTGTAGACTATCGCAACGCGATTTTCAACTATCGCAACGCGAACTGGAAAATCGCAACGCGATTTTCGCAACGAATTTGGAAAATCGCAACGACAACTGTAGACTATCGCAACGCGAACTGGAAAATCGCAACGCGAAATGGAAAATCGCAACGCGATTTTCAACTATCGCAACGCGATTTTCAATTATCGCAACGCGAAATGCAACGCAAATTTGCGATAGTGGAGATCGCACTGCGAATTAGAGATCGCATTGCGATTTTATTGGTCATTTTCGCAAATCCAAAAAGAATTGATCAAAATCGTATATTATCTGGGATTTTTGGTCACTGAGGTTATTTTCTCTTATTAAAATACAATAATATATATATATATATATTAATACAAGTTTATCAAAATACTCAGAGCATACACAACTTAACCCTTTAGTTACATGCCAACATCCCTTTAGATAACAAAATGACCTACTAATTAAGTTGCTTCTGATCTGATAGTTGCAGGAGTAATGTTGTACAGCTGCTTAACCTCGATCGTCTACTTTATCGGATCCTACGTGTGAAACACTCACACGCTAAGTCATCGACTTAGTGAGGCAATATAACAATATCAATAAAATATAAAGGAATTGCCAAAATGAGATGGGTTGCAATAATAAGATGTATGTAAACAATGCAATAACCATAACCATGTTTCTTACACATATACTTATCAAATTCACATTTATAAGTTCACCTTATTAAGTTCATTAGCCCATGGTACCATACTGAGAACCTAAGGTATGTGAGTATTGTGAGGTTGTGCACTATGCTGTCACCACAGCTCGTATAATTGCACCGAAGTGCCACGTAGAATTGCACCGGAGTGCCGCGTAGAATTGCACCGTAGTGCCATATAATAATGTCCATAAGGACCACATATCATTCCTTAAGAATCATATACATATACTAGGGATCAAGTATGTGTCTCACAATACTTCACACATGTTCCAAAGAATATATATATATCCCGAAGGACCGCGTAGATCCTCTACCCTTGGCATGTCAACTATACCTATAGTTCTCATCTATATAACATGGGCTTTCACCATTCACATAATTTGTATCACGTAAACATATTATTTTCATACCTTTATCACATAGACATATCATTTCCATACCTTTATCACATAACTCATATAACTTTTTCTTGCATATTCATGTCACATAATACATATGGTATGAATTCATGCCATGTATCATAATATGAAATGCGATCATGTATCAAAATATTTAATCTAGACTTATCACAAGTCTAGAACTGAATAGAATACATATTCATGCTATGCATATGCACTCACCTAGATTTCTTTGTCTTTCCCTCGATCAATCCTACTTGTCGATTGTTCCAGAACTTGTTTAGGCTCGATATCTACATAGTAATTCATTGATACTTATCAGTATACTAATTAGTATATTCTAAACTATCATTTCTTAGGCTAAAAGAAAAGCCATTTTCATCTTTTAATGGAGGTATGCATCGATGCACTACACCATGCATCGATGCATAAATCCTATTCGATGTTTGTATTTAATGGGGTGCATCGATGCACTCCTTATGCATCGATGCATCGATGGCATTCGATGTTTTCTTTTAAATTAATGCATCGATGCACCTTAAACAATTTTTGGGATTTATCATTGATGCATCGGTGCACAATGAATGTGCATCGATGCACATTGCCCAAAATTATCATTTTAGCACGAAAATCTCTTCTTATTCTACTTAACACTTTATATTTCTCCTCTTTTTATATCCTTAGCTTGCATACTCTACTTAAACTAATTATTATCCATTCCATACTTTTAAAACTTAGAAATCCAATTCTCCATGTAGAGTTTAAGAATCTAACCCAAATTCCAACATGTTCTAATTTGAATTCTAACACTTCATACTTCTTAGTTAGCTTTATGACAAGTCAAATCCCACTTCAAATTCTTATTATGAGCTCTAATCCAAGATTTCACTTTTCTACTTCCTTTCTTTGATTCTTCATATACTCCTCATCTTATGGTTTTAAGATAATCTAAGCTTTCCTTAAGCTTAGTTATTATCTAAGGATCAATAAGAAACCTTAAATTCATTAAGAATTTGATCAATAAGAAAACTTACCTTTAGCTTTGTCTTCACGGCAGAGAGAAGAAGAATGAAGAAGAAAGAAATATTCAGAACCTTGTTTCTCTCATTAGCTTTCCACGTAGTTTATTAAATATCCTTAAGAAACCTTTAATTATTTTCCTTGTCAAAAGACTCATTTGCCCCTTTAGTTCCCTATGCTTTGCTAATTGATCCTACACCAAATATTTCAATCAATTCCTTTAACTTTCAATTTATCAACTTTGATCACTAAATTTTAAAATTTCACAATTTAATCACTAACCCGGTATGGAGGATGTTACAAGTTCCTTTCAATTTTTTCTTCCTTGCATAAAATGCTTCTCTCACATTTTTTTTACTAATTAAACATGCGTCAAAATAAATTTTCAGTCAATCAAAAAATTAAAGAAAATGTGAAAATAAATTTTGTGACATTTTTCATAAAAGATGTTGAGTATTTCTTGGAGCTTAGGGGATATAGATCAACAAGCTTATCTCCTTTGATATTGAATCATACACAATTACCAAAAAGTTTGTTCTTTTGACTTATATAGATTCTTAAGGCTTTGAAGAATAAGAGTTAAGTGATAAGGAAAGATGAATGAAAAAAAAAGAGGTAGATGAATAATGTTTAACTTTTCCCTAATTCCACGTATGATAAGAGAAAAATCAATAAAATATATTTTATGATTTTTTAATGGTGTAATTATATTTTTAGTTTATTGACGGGAGAGATAGAGTCGTGGTGGTTTTTGACGATTCACTCCTTTTGATTTAGGTGGAGAGTTGCATAAATTGATTGGTGAAAAAGAGAATAGATGGATTTAAGATCTAGAGAGATTGAGAGAGAGACCCTTCTCTAGCTTTTTCATGATGGTTTATATACATACCTTTAGTGTTGATGTCAAGCCGATGATGATGGTGACTATTTGTACGTTAGCAATGTGAATAAACATGGTTGTCAGTCGATCACGTTTGCATGCTAATGGTCATGTCAAGGGGTCTCAACTAGTATGGAAATATAGATTTTCAGATGTCTCTAGGCTCGATAAACGAATGAATGACAACAAATATATCACTTGAAAAAAAAAGATTTGGAAGAGGTATAACATATCCCTTCTTCATTTATTGTTCAATTAAACATCTCTTTTTTAATGTCAATTGTGTCTAATTCTCTTATGATTGGGCCTATACTTCGTGCAACAAATTTAATCTACTCGTAATATGATCTATAAACTTAATATCATTACATAATTAAAATTAAATGATTTATATTATTAATATTGGATCTTGATATAAATGGCCATGATACTCAATTTGGTATGCAAAACACATACACATACATTGAATGATGTGGAAGATGCCTTGGGAATACAATTTGGTTCGACTCATTTTTAATATATTTTTTGATAAATTTTAAATTTAATTTTAATATTATCTAGAACAGAGAAGTAAAAATTTTTAGAAAGTAAAAAAAATACTCCTTATAAATCTAAAGTACATAATTTAAGAAAATATAAGCGAACAAAGATTAACAGCTTAACTAATCTATCAGTATGCTTGATCAGCTCATATTTAATAATTAATAAACTGTTAAAACTCCTTTTTATATATATTTAATTCAAAATTGCTATATAAAGTCAAAGTTTATAACGATAAGATAGGAACCGAAAGCTGCCCATTCATTTTAGTATTGGTTTCTCTTACAGTAATCTCCAGTTGTGTAATAATTCTCCAATCAAAACTGCGGTTTTATTAATTGTCCCAACTTTATCCATTTGCCTTGTTTTTAGCAAAACAAAAATGGGAAATCATAAGCAAAACCATCTCTACTTTACTTTCTGATCTCCCAAATTTCCTTTAATTATCCTTCCAATTTTCCATCTTCCAACTTTCCCGAGCGATTTTTATTTATTTTTCCATAGAAAAAAATGATGCGAAGTCAACAGCAAAATCATCGGCAACGGGATCAGCTGTCATGTGCTATTTACGAGCTGTCGGCGCTAGTCCTGAACCTCCTCCGATGGACGCCGACGACGAGCAGTTTGGCCGACCAATCACCGATGCGGACGAAGATAACGACGGTGGGATGTGGTTGGCTGATGATGGGGATATCGGTTTCTTTAATGCTCTGTGGATCAGTCACTTTCTTTTTAGGGTTCATGTTGATGCCTTGGGTTGTTGGTTTACTCATGGTTTTTTACATCGCCGGGATTGTTTCAACGATCTCGATGTTCGGTCGCCGGATTCTTTGTTACGTCATGGCACCTTCCTCCACCCGGAAAAGATATTACTGGTAATTTCTTCAAATCTTTTTAAAATAAATAAATACTCTCTCTCTATATGAGTATATGTGTTGCTTCGCTTTTTTACTTTATGATTTGGAGCTTTCGTGTTCTTGACGTATGTCTTTGATATCGGACAAAGTCACGGGGTTTTTTTTAAGTGTCGAAAAACATCGAAGTTACGTTTTGCATAAGAATTTGACAACTAAACTATGTGTCTTGAACTTCATCCATTAGGTCGCCAAGTTTCGCACGTGTCCTTCATATATACATCAATGTCCAACATTGTGGAGTTTATTTCTGTAGTCAAACATATTACCTCATCAATTAAATATATATTAAAAAGATTATATTTTAGATTTACATGATAAATAAGATATTGATTAAATTATATCATTAAAATATTTGTATAATAAAATTATTTTTACTATTACAAATAATATTTAGTGGCGGATCATACATACATAAATTAAATGTAGTGGATTAAACGTAGTTTAAGATAAATACGTGTGTTTTTTGAGATTATGTTTTTCTTCTGTTAATTCTTTATTTTATTAATTATATTCACTTTAAAGACTTTACTTGCGTACAATTTTATATAAAAACTTATATATAAAAATTTATGTTGTTAATATATATATATATATATTATAAATACCCTTAAAAATATTTTTGATTCCACTTCTAATAATATTTTCATGTTTTCAGTTGGTTATTCGGGTAAACTTTTGAAATCGATTTGAAAAGTTATATTCTAACATTTTTATATGTAAATATTGATATGAATGTTTAAAAGTATTTCTTTTAAATATAATTTGAGGAGATTATAACGTAATATCGGTTCATAAGCTCTCTTAATCAATTAATCATTGATAATGCACATACCATCTAGATGTAATTGTTCGGACTTAATATTTTTGTGAAGAATAATACTCTATTTAATCATTAAAATCACTTGATGAATTATATTTAAAAATAAAGTTGGAATGACCTATTAAATTGTTTCGATATGATTTTGGCGTTGTAGAATGGAAGCTTTTGTGAGGAGCAAAGGTGATTTCAAAATGCTGCATAAAAGGGAAAGCGAGCAAGGAAGGTTCCCTGTTGGAGCATTAAAGCAGGAGGTGTGGATATTGCTTATTGATTTTACTAGAATTAGTGACTTATACAACGATTAAACAAATCATTATGTATTGGATTATTGATTTTTTATTTATATTTAAACTGTCCTATTCCAATATTTATGTTGATCTATTTGTAATGGGGACAAAGTCAATTGTGATTAATAATTCAATTAATACATAGACAAACTAATTTCACGTCCAATTAATAATTCGACAATGATAATTATATATATATATATAGATATTCATTTTGTGTGATATCGGATTGGTTTACGTCTATACTGATTCTGAGATTTGGAGCGGTTGAGATCGGTGCGTGGGACTGTGCCATTGTCCTCTTTGGTTTTCTTTCTTTTATGTGGATCAAATCTCCGGTTTAATCTGCTTAAATTGAAATTTTTAATCGGTGTAAATAGACCGAGTTGAAGATTAAATTTAGGTATCTGATTTAACATTAGCATGAAATATGGTTTTGTATTTAAAATTAAATTCAACGTTAAATAAATACCAAATGTTTTTTTATCATTTAATTTGAAAAGAAATATGAATGAAAAGATTCGGTAATAATAATCGAAAGTTAAATCGATTAAAATGAAATCAAAGTAATCACATCAATTTTAGAATGGTTTAAAGTTTTAAGTATCCAAATTTTGATTCATTTTGATAATCAATCAAGTAACAAAAATTCATTGAATGACTATGATAAAATAAAATATTGTTCTTCTTAGAAGATTTAAGTTTGAGCAACTGTGTCTATAAGATATGTATATTTTAGTGATAAATTAAGAAAAAATCTAAATAATATCTCGTAATAACTAAATTATAGGGTATTTATGTATGTTGCGACTATAAAATTTTATATGAATAGATTTATAAAATCTAATATGTGATATGAATAGATTTATAAAATATAATATGTTAAATAAATAGATAGATTAATATTTATAATTATGTAAAAATAGTAATCAAACAATACGATTCTTCTATCTTTAATTTTTATTTATGAATACAAGAAGTAGAACATATTCTTAATATTTTTAATTCAGTTTTCCTGTTATAATTCGGGGGGGGGGGAATTAAATACGTTGTCCTCGTATGATTTCAGCATATGAGACCGGGACCAGTACATTCAGAATTAAATTAGAAAATACTTAATACATCAACCAATTAAAGTTTGCCACGTCATGAAGTACCCAAACCCCACGTTTCATAATTCATCGAGCAGCAGCTTCGTGGTTCCAGTGATTATTATTTATTTTTAGTTACAAATAAATAACTAAGCTTAATTTCCTTCTTGTTTCGGTAATCCGCTTCGGTTCAAATGACAATGATCGTTGATTCTCTTCTACTTAGAATTTCTCACTGAAATTGAAGATGGATCAAACAGGTGAAACTTAGATTTTTTTTTTGCTTTTATTTTTTGTTTACAATTATAGTTGGACTGAATATTAGATTTAGGGTTTTAACTAAATTGGGAATCATTTGAACATAGAAGTTGTTTCTTTCTAAGGGTATGGTATTGATAATCTGTTTCGGGAAGCTCAATCTCGGTGGTTGAAGCCAGCTGAAGTACTGTTTATACTACAAAACCATGAAAAGTATCAATTTGAGCAACAGCCTCCTCAGAAGCCGACCAGTAAATCTTCTAACTTGAATTCTAAGTTTAGTTTTTTGCTGTTATTACATATTTGGATTTCTGTATTATTAACCGGAATTATATATATGTATATAGGTGGCTCTTTGTTTCTTTTCAATAGGAGGATCCTTCGGTTCTTTCGTAAAGATGGTCACAGTTGGCGTAAGAAGAAGGATGGAAGAACTGTCGGCGAAGCCCACGAAAGGCTTAAGGTTTTATCAAACACCGCTTGCATTTTAGTTTTGTTGTACTAGATGGATATTATGTGAAGTGTGTGCTTTTGTTATTTAGAAAATGATTGGTTAACTGATTGGTTTAAAGTGAACTCCTGGTGCATGGGAAACATACTTGAAAATTAATGTCTGGCTGTCTAAGAAGGGAAGAAGGATGTTTGTGTCCTTGTTAGCATTAAATGTTCAATGCATTTGACTGTTTCTGATGTCAATTGAGTTTTATATTGATATCTTCAATCTGAGAGGTGATTTATTACATGCATGGCCAGGTTGGTAATGTTGAAGCTTTGAATTGTTACTATGCTCACAGAGAACAGAACCCCAGTTTTCAGAGACGTAGCTATTGGATGCTGGACCCGTAAGTGTACTGGGTAGCATATTTGTTTATAGCATTTCACATCCTAATATGAAATATTTTGGTGATTCATTTTGACCTTTGGGGAACTATATTTGCTAATGGTTTATTACTTTTGCAAGGCATACGAGCATATAGTTCTTGTTCACTATAGAGAGATAAACGAGGTAAGTTTTGATGTCTAGACTAGTCATTTCTAACATCTTTCCTTCGTGATCTTTTTATTCTTTCTGCCTAGAACATGGTTTCCCAACAATTTGGGTGTAATTGTCTTCCTCTCTGTATAGCTGGTATCCAATATAACTTTTATAGTTCACAATTACAGATGGGCATACTTTACTTTCTCTGTTAAACTAATGTCACTCTTTGCATTTGTACACAGGCTAAGTCCAGTTCTGCATCCACTGTGTAATCGCCATTATCCTCTTCTTCTTTTAGTCCAAGTCCACAGTCTTATACTTCTCAACATCCCAGGGCAAACTCTCTAACTAATGATGTACATGAACCATACCAGAACTTATCTAGTCCAGTGTCTGCTGAAGTTAGCTCTGATATAGTCACCAAGAACAATGGAATAGATACTAAAGTAGAATATACCAGTCCTGCTGATTTTCAAGTTGCTCATGCTTTAAAGCGGATTGAGGAGCAGTTAAGTTTGAATGAGGACAGCATCAAAGAAATGGGTCCATTGTACTGCTTGGATGAGGATACACATGATTCAGAATTTCTGGAATACGGAAGGGAGATTGCCAAGCAGTGATATCTTTCAAGATCAACTTTATTCCCAATCTGCTAGAATGGAAAATTATTCGTATAGTTCTGTGCTGCTTCCTGATGGAGGTTTGTTTGTTTGTCATTTCTTTGATGCTCAGAATTGTCAAAATATACTTCTGTTTTGTTTCTTTTTATCGTCCACATCCACTAGAAAAGCATAAATTTCAAATTTGCTCCCACATCCCCTCTCTCTAGTCTCTAGTCTCTAGTCTTCCCAACAGAAATGCAAAAGGGTAATGAAAGGCAAGAAAAGATAAGAAATATATAAGAACAACAATTTGAAATCATTGTCTTTTTGAAATTGCATTTTTTTTTGCTCTCAAGTTTATGGCAAACATGGACACCCGACGGATCTACTGCTGTATATTTTAATGGCTAGCCTCTCTTTCTTTACTGTTTCTATATTTATTGGTTAATTCTTGAATATGATTGATGGGTAAGGAAGCTGAAAAGAATAACTAACCTTTTGTAGGTATGAATGGAGGACATAGTCAAGTATATGGCAATGATAATTTAGATGGAAGCCAGGAATCTCAATATTGGAAAAATGTATTTGACTTGTGCAAGACTCCATCAGGTGTTGGCTCTAAGGTAAACACATTTTCCCATTGAACTGAAATGTCTATAGCATGGAAACTATTTTAGTATCTACATGTTAGTGATTCTGTACTATATATTTACAACACCACTACAGTAAATTGTTAAATTTCCTTTTCTAATTATTTGATAGTAGGCTACCTTTTAGCTTGAGGTTATGGTTATGGAGAAAATCACCCAATTGTTGGATCTGGGATTTGGAACCCGAACCCTATGATAACTCCCATTCTTTTACCTTTTATGCTCCGTTAATCACAGTTCAGCCTTTAGGTTAATTTTTGGGCTAAACATGTGTTGCTGTTGTTGGTATTATCACTTCTTGTTACATGGAGAGCTTTTTTGTCTTTTAAACAGGGAAAGCCATTATCTTCTTCAAGGATGAGACCAACTGAGTAGCAGGAACAATGTGGTTTGCTGAATTTTAATGGATCTAACGTTGAAAACTGTATGATCTTCTATCTTGATAAGTATTTGACTCTAGAAATATTAGTATCTAGTTTAACTTTATTTCATTCTATCCCTTTCTCTGCCAGCCTCTGTAATGCAGCATCCGGAAGTTGGAAATGTTGAAATTCCTTCATATTCTTCAGCAATAGAAGCTATCGACACCAAGTCCGTCTATTATACTATGTTGTTCAACCAAGAAGAAATAGGTTTTCCTATTGCATCAGATTCAAGATTGACTATTGCACAGAAGCAGAAATTCACAATTCGGGAAATTTCTCCAGATTGGGGTTACTCCAGTGAGCCTACAAAGGTGTGCATCAAGGGATTCTATTTATTCTGTTTTCTGCCACTAATTCATGAAGTTCTTTGTCTTAACTGCTGCAGTTTAAGCTTAAAATTTTAAAGCATAATAATGAACATGATGCAGGTCATCATTGTTGGATCATTTCTCTGCGATCCAGCAGAATCTTCCTGGGCATGTATGTTTGGGAAGACTGAAGTTCCTATTGAGACCATTCATGAAGGTGTTATTTGTTGTAAAGCTCCTCCTCACCTTCCTGGGAAGGTCACGCTCTGCATCACTACTGCTAACCGTGAGCCCTGCAGTGAAATCAGAGAGTTTGAGTATAAAGATGGTACTAGTAGTTGCACTCGGTGTAATTTATCCCACACAGAAGCTGCTAAAAGTGTTGAAGAGCTGTTGTTGTCAGATTTGTTGAGATGCTTCTGTCTGATTCATCATTGCACAACATAGATTCTGGAAAACATTTTCCGGAAAAGCTTAAAGCTAACGATGAATCATGGAGTCATATCATAGAGTCTCTTTTAATTGGCAGTGGGACTGCCTCCGGTACTGTTGATTGGCTTGTGCAAGTGCATTTAAAGGACAAATTGCAACAATGGTTATATTCTAGATCCAAGGAATTAGGAGACAAGTCAGGCATCACCGTGTCCAAGAAAGAGCAAGGAATAATACACATGGCTGCTGGATTGGGGTTCGAGTGGGCGCTAAATCCAATTCTGAGCCATGGAGTCAGTGTAAATTTCCGGGACATAAATGGGTGGACTGCGCTTCACTGGGCTGCAAGATTTGGAAGGTAAACCAGAATCAAATCTACTTTCTTTAACTTTCATTCTCTCTTTCTCTTTCACAATTAATC